TCATAAGACTTATAAAATCCTTTAGCTTACTCAATATCGATTTTCTTTAAAATAGAATTTAAAAAAAAATTACAGTGTATTCGATTAAATTCTTCTCCAAAAAAAATTCATAGTTCAACACAAACTGGTAATACTATTTCATCTTATACAAATCATTTAGATTTATTTAAAGATCTATTATTTCCAGTTAATGATATTAATAATCAATTAACAACATTAAATAATTCAAATATAGAAGAAAAAGAAAATTTTCATTTATCAAATCATGTGGAAAATTGGTCACTCGTTCAAGTTGAAGAATATATTGAAAAATTAACCAATAATACTATTGCTGAAATTTTTCGTGAACATGATATTGATGGTAGAGCATTATTATTATTAACAGGAAGACATTTATGTCATAAAATGAAAATTAAATTAGATAAAGCACTGGTTATATTAAATGGTATAAGAAAATTACGTCAATATTATGGACAATCTTTTTCATAATTTAATTACTTTTTTTTCTTTTCATGCTCTATAAAATATTTCTTGTATTTATATTTGTTGTATCATTTTTTTTATACGAATATAAGAAAATATATGATAAACGAAAAACATTTCATTTTTTTTATAATAAGATGAAAACATCTTAAAATATTGAGAATTTTGTTTGCTTAATTACTCGATATAGATTGTTGTGGGGTGTGGGTGTGGCTGAGGGTATTACTATTTGTATTGTCCCACACCCACACTGACACCAACACCCACCCCACATTTCTCTACAAATTGCATGGTCGAACAACATAATAACGTTAAAAATAATGAAACAGCTTATGCATCTTTGAACGGCTCCAGAAAATTATTTTGGAACCGTTGCAGAGCTCTATATCATGGTAGCTTTATACACCCTTTAGAATGATGAAATGAATACTTTGGAATAACTTGATTAATAAAAAGAATAGTCATGAAGATATAAAAAATTCAGATCATATTTAAAAAACTAACTACGAACTCCTATATGTAAGACATGCATCTCAGTCAATAATAACCTTTTCTGTTGTACCTCGGCCAAAGTTTTCAGGCGAATACATTTCTTCAGCTTTAGCTGCTGGAATAATGAATGTTCCAGCACATGTTGCACG